CTTGATTACTTCGCCAGGCTAATTTCCCCCCTGATTTGAATTGGAAAGATACTGTAGACTTGCGAAGTAAGCTTTGAAAGTTCGGTCGTAAAAAGTACGTTGTGGTAATGGAGTTGAATTTAGATTTAGTGTATTGTTTCTTTTTCTTTCTAAATTAGTTGAAAGTCAAACATAATTGTTGTGTATCAATATCCTAAATGGTCTTAAAATACGTTACTGTAGTATCTTCACATATGAAATTAGTCTGTAAAATTATGTAATCTAAAAATACATGTAATACTGCTGTAATAAGTAAACTTGTTTTTTTTTCTGATATAATACCAAAGAATTAGATTTTTAAGGTCCCATTTTCAAAGTTAACACTAATTTATTAAAACAACCTCTTCAATCCTGGGTCACCACGACCGCAGGTATGTTGAGATTTTAAAAATTAATGCTTTAATATTCAGGAAAACCCCTAGGCTTGACCCTAGCTCGTCTTATGTAAAAAAGGATCATTTTACAGTTTTTAAAGGTATTTTAACTATTTATTCGTATAAATCCAAACGCTAATAGTTTTAAAAATTGTGTTAATTTATTCAATTGTGCAGTCTTTCTAAAATGTTCACTTTAAACACGTGTGACATTCAACGCCAATAAACTAGTACAATCTACATACTTACGGGATTTAGTAAATTCGAACTTTATCTCACATAATAAACTATGATGGTTGTTAGTAATAATAATCGTCTCGACGAATGTTAACAGATAATCTGTAACATGTATTTATAATTTATTTTAAGCTATTATCTAAAAAAATTACATATCTTCTTAGACATAGCAATCGCCAATCTTATAAGTACATATGCAGAAGCTATGATACAGATTGTATGTCCAGACTCCAGTTTACTCGCTCGTCCGAGTTTCTTCTCAACGCTGCAGTGATGCCAACCGAGGGAATTTCTCCCGCACAATATTTACCTCGCGACTCCTGCATTATACAATCAGCAACTTGAACACTGTGCTGTACTCTCGTGTCAGTAGGCGTATTTGTAGGCGCTTTGAAATTACCATTCACTCTTATTGAGCGTATGGCAAGTTTTTTGTATAATTGTTTTAATGAATATCATTAACACTTCTCTGAGTCATTTATATTAATTAAATGTATAATGTTTAATCCATTTAACACCAAAACTTTCACAAGATAGTAGGAATGTAAATATATTCTTTAAAGACTGTTATAAATAAGCGCATTTTTATACAATTTTGTTTGAAAATGTAATAGAAACAATATTTTTACATTTTTGTAAGTATTAAGAAATGTATTTATACCTTCCCCGATGATTATAGTTGTTTTCTGTAGCCAATCGTCTTTTGAAGCTGAATAAATCCTGGATACTGACCACCATAATATGAAGCTGGTTTTAAAAAAATGTTTTTGAAAATTTTGTAAAAATTAAATTCTTCCAAATGATCAAACATTCCGGAATTACGTTGGTTCTTTAAAATGTTTCTAGCTAAAATCTTCCCCAATCTAACATTACTTTTTAAAATTCCGTCCTAACAAAAACCTTTACGTCAACTATAATGCTAAAGTGCGTTCATCTTGAACACGATTATCAAACAAATCGTGTACGATTTACTTTTAAATTAGTCAAATCCTGTCTTTCGACCAAAATATACTAGTTTTTCAATTTACAGTAGCAACTTTGTTCCTAGTTTGAATATTTTCTTGTTCTCGAAATTTCCTTCTTTCGAAACATAGTCCAATTAAGTTTACCTATCAAAATAATTTCCCATCCAACAATTTCTACATCGCCAGAAAGCTCAAATCTGTCCATCCTCCGATCGGATTATCAAGCATCGCTTGTCTCATCACCAGCTGGACGCTTACACTGCGTCGAACGTCGACTTGCAGAACGAAATTAATCGGCTTGTAGCGCCGCAGACGTCGATACATGTAGAACTGTGTGATAAATAGTCGGTCTCGGTAAGCAGATTGTAGCAAGTTGCGGGTAATCCTGTGTAAGCCTAGTCCAGCACCAGCACCATGTGTGTGAGGCTCCGATAGGATTACAATTATACCACTGTGCGGCTGCTGCGGCTGATTTATACAGATTATATCTTACACATGGGTAAAATATATGGTTGACTCGTTGAATTTGTAATTAACTCTCTCTAGACCCTGTTAAGACGGACTGTCATTTTATTGCCGTATGTAAAGATGCATGCAGCTTTATTGTTAAGTGGCTGATTTGTACATATCATCCTACACTCCCTTAAACAATGAGTGGTTTACATTGGTAAAAATGCGGTTGACTCATTAAAATTGCAATTAATCCTTCCGACCCCGTTGATAAGGACCGCTTTGAACAGTAATTTGACTGCAGTATGGCGTAAAAGTTTTGTGCAGCTATTTTGATAAGTGGACACGGTATGATCACCTAAAGATTACAGTCCCTAGGTAATTGAAAATTATTTTGATTTAAACGCATAGCAAAAACTTATTGAAATCACTTCTTACTCACGAAGAGAGATTTTTTGGTTGGTTATAGTACTCTCAGCTGGACACGGTTATTTTATAAAGCGTTTACAAATTTATTTAATAAAGTATTTACCCTGGGCACCTAAACGGACAGACGGATATCATTTTTACATCTGATTTATAAGCTATAAAGGTAAAGTGTATACGCAGTTTTAATTTTGTGAATTATGTAGTTAAAAAAGTAGACCAGTAAGACGAAAATATAGTTAATCACACGAACCAAAAACAAAAAATGTCCAAAAACCAGTAAACTAGTGAGAAAAGTGAGCAATTGACTCACTCGAGAGAAATCCTTACTCACGAGCTGTAGGCGAGTGAGGAATGGTTTCTCGAGTGAGGCAATTGTACTTTGAACTCGAGTTGCACGTTATACTTTTCCTACAGTTACCATAAAACAAATAAATTGGTGTAGAAACATAACCTATTTTTACACAGAAGTGAACTTTTAATATAATATTTAATGTGAAGTGACAAATACAACAGTACAACAGCTGACCAGCTGATTTACAGCCAGTGCTGCCAACGTATTTTGCGCGCATACGACGTTGCCTGCATGCTACACGCTCACTATTTCGTGCCTTCTCGTTGCAAATCTGGAGTGAGACAAAGTAATTAGAGTGAGACAATGTCAACATTGTCTCACTGATGAGCGAATTGGCCACTTTGCTTTCTCAAATCAGTGAGAGAACATGTACATTGTTAGGTAACTGTAGGAAAATATATTACCTAGCCCATTTCTGTAATCGATTAAACCATTACTCTAGGTATTCTTTTCAGCATAGATTTCTTCGTCATGGTCACGGTCACCGATTATCTTAGAGCGGACCTTAACATGATGTATGTAGAACTAAATCATAGATGTCGGAAAATCATAAAACTAAAATATGGAAAATCGGATGGCTACATAGTAATAACGCCGATGTTTTATGCATATTTGGTTATATAATGAAATGTTTGTTGACGTTTGGGTCTGAATAGCTAAAGAAAGGAAAATTTGATTTAAAATAATACCAATCCGAACATTTATCTTTATAATCTTTTTTTCTGTTAAACGAAAATACCAATCCCCACCCGATAACTCTATCTGCAGTTATTATTTTCGCCAATGTTATTTTTGGCACCTGGAGACGAAATGGCGAGTAAAAGGGTAAATTGGTAAAGAGGTTTTGTCGGACGTGGCCCGGTCCCACGAGGGGTCGACACAATAATAAGATAAGAAGCCAGCCGGGAGTGGAAATAAGGTCGGAGCCCCGGGGAATTGGAAATCACATTGCGGAAATATCGAACGGAACCGGAAGTGGAGGTGAGAAGTCCGCATAAACAACTCCCTGAGCCCTTATAAATATTTAAATGGAACTGTAAACACCTGACTTTGTGGTACGACACCCACACCTGACACTTGTAAATGCTACGGGAGGTGTTTTGGTTAACCTGATTATCTCTGTAAAAGTTAAAAGAAATGGTTCATTGCATTTTACAAAGTTTACATGATTGTGGAGTTTCTCAAAGAAGCATTTGGCATATAATGTTTTACTTTAAGTACAACTAAAAACAAACGATAAATTAAAAAAATCATATAAAAAAAATATTTTAAAAATATATATAAAAAATATATTATTAGGAAATTTGAGCAATTGAGGAAATTCACGTAATAGAGCTCTATTACGTGAACACCTAAATTAAAACATTAGTAGGAAAATATATTAACATTTTCACTGTAAAAGTTATTAACATACATGTATGACAAAGGTATTGTTCTTTCATACAAAAATTCTTCAAAAAGGAGTATTATGAACGTTATTAAGAGGAATTGCTCTGCAGATTGGATTTTTACAATATGAGGGTTGTAAATGTCATAATTTGTGTGAGACATAGGATTTTTTTATTTAAAAATATGTTAAAATATTTTTACAATTTTCTGACATTGAATTAAATTACCTCTGCACTATTTCCATCCACTTTTTTGACACAAACACTGACAATTGATCAATTAATTGTCACATGATAAATCACATTCATCTACAAAAAAGATAATTAACTTATCACTATTGCTAGAAAAACTCAGGAATGGATCATATTTCACCTAAGGCACCCCCTAAGTGTTAACATGTCTTCAGGTTAATTCATGTTATAGGATCATGGATAGAAGCATATTAGTATAAAACATAAACATTACTATAGTGTGGAATATTATAGAGAGGCAATAGAATGTTGGCAGTAGGGTTCATTAACTATATTTTAATTGAATTCTTATTTGAAACCTGCTCAATAAAGATAGGATGTGCACCCAAGTATCTGAGTATCTAAATGTCAATGCTCTTACTCATAAAACACATGGATTCAATGATCTGTGATTAGTATGTTACCTAGTTTGACACCTAAAACCTAAAAGCATCCTCTCGACGATATCATCGAATTTTTCACAGTCACCAAAAAAACCTGTGCTTAAACTAACAATATAACATTTCTGTTGCAGAAACATGGATTGAAGTACCCCAACCACATATTTAACTTCAAGCGCAAGTGTACATTAGTGTGACAATGAATATGGCATGGACGGTGTGGCTGGTGGCCTGTCTGGCGCTGGCGCAGGTGAGCGCCGAGCTCCCAGACCAGGACTGTCCAGATGATTGTGACTGTCACTACTGGCGCATCAACTGGGTAACTGACTGCTCGGAGAGTAACCTCACCTCGGTGCCTACAGTAGAGGAGGGCCTCAGTCTAGGCGTGTACCTACTGAACATGAACGCAAACAACCTCAGGGAGCTCGAACCTTTCCCCAACGACCTGAAGGTATGGCAGTTAATTTCAAGAGAATTAAGTATAGATAAATTACGTGTGTTGACTCTCCTGTGTTTAAAGTAAAACTTAATTAGTTTAGCTGTTGATTTAGATAGATATTATCTGCAAAGTTATCTCGCAGAGCCGGACTTAAGGGGTTGTGACCCAGTGCAAACATTCATAGGGAAGCCCAAAAAACTACCAAAAAAAATAGTCTCCTAATAATAACTTACAAAAATCTTAATGCTTAATTTTAGTATATATACTCCCCCTTTTTCTTTTTTTCATTATTGACATAACTAATGTAAAATTCACAGAATTAAAATTTTTTTGTATTTAACACTAAATGCGAGGCCCTGAGCGGCCACAACTTTCGCACGTGCCTAGGCCGGCTAATGCCTTCCTGTGTATCTCAACTTGCTCCGGCGTCCGGCGGTTTCGCCGGTAAGTGTGTCCCTGGCCTTAGAGAGATGTTACTTGATTGGTGGACTGATTTGCAAGATATAGAACCACCACATCGTAGTTTCCTCGTAGCAATTGCAATTGATGTTTGCATGTCTTGAATTCAGGCCTCCTAAACAGAAGAGGACCAGTAAATCAGCCATTTCACAGATTTTTTTTTGTGTTATTGTCTATAACCATAGACCAACCAACACAAGTAGACTTCTCATCCCATTGTAAATTTTGAAGCACGTTTTTCGTGTCTAGTTCATGTACGTGACACAAAGGCGCTAGTGTCGATGAAACTTTGTTTCCGATATTTTAGGGTTAATTTCTTGATTTGTGCTTTACTGTTTGGTTATATAACTAGGGGACAAGTTATTGTTTATGATTAGATCGTATTATTTGGTTAAACGAGGTTTTAAATGGCTGTAATAACGGGAAACAAATTGTAAACAAAACACGACCTCTACATAAACCGTACATGAACTAACAATAAAATTGTCTTCAGCCGTTCCATAAGGATGAGAAATCTACTAAGGGAGTATGTTTTATCTATGCTATAACCTAGCAGTTTAAAATAAATATTCACAAACACTTTTTAAAAGAAACCTGTTCAGAGATCTAACATTTTTTCATATTACTAAAGATTTATCCCACCCCTCTCATGGCAATGTCTGCTACACTAATCCCTACTATTCTAGGGTCTTAATAGGACAGCTCTGGTAACATGAAATGATTACCGGTATAATATCTATGAATATTCTATGATTATTTTAGTTAGAAATCACCCTATCTTCTGGGTTTTTTCTGAAGACCCCTGTAATTTGATCTGCTGACTGTCAATTCTCATAACAATTTTTACTGCCAAGAAATTGATCACTTTAGATTGATTAAATAGTATTATATGTATGGGAAACATACCCTATGAACTGGCAAGTAAATACAGTAGAACCTTGATAACAAGACTCTCAAGGGGATTATTAAATGAGACTTGTAATCAAGATTGACTCCTTATTGAGGTTTGCAATAACATGTGATTTGGGGTAAAGTAAATTCAAGGGGATTTCAAAAATGATACTTGCTGGGTGACTTGTTTTCGAGGGTCTTCTTATCAAGGTTCTACTGTACTTGTAAATATAAAATCCAATGCTACATTGCACAGTGTTCTTACATCACATTGGTGTTGCAGGTACGTAGTCTTCAGTTGGCAGAGAACATGCTGTCAACCGTTGGTAAGGATGACTTCTCCAGCCTGATGTACCTCATAGACATCGATCTGACGGCCAATAACATTCACTCTGTTCATCCTGAAGCCTTTGTGTAAGTACTGTTCCAGGATTTTAACAGGATTCTGATTACAAAGCAAAATTGTTTCACAATTACATTCGTCCCAAGATTTTGCTGCATTAAAAGTTGCATTGTACCACAATTGAAATCACTATGGGTTAACACATAAAGATGTATCATGATACCACAAATAAGTTTTGAATTACTCTTTCAAACATTATATGGTAACCTAGACAGAAGTAAGTTAATGAGATTATTCTTCTTCTTTGGACCAATATTATAAGGGGTATGGTATGGGGTATGGCTGGTCATAACAAATTTACTGAATATTCAGTAATACTTATGTACCGAGAATGCACTTACTATTCAGATGCCAGATCAATACAAAGATTTGTTAAATATTCTTCTGGCTATATTTCTTGGTTTTGAGGAAGGTTCCAAGTTTAACACTGTTGTGGGAATCTTTGAAATAATTAGGCCTAAGTATGTATCCTAATAAAAGCCTTAATACCTTGAACTGTAATAAACTCTTAAAAGATGCTAATAACATTTTAATACTTGTTTTTAAACTAAGTTAAATATATTTATTGGAATTGTGTAATGAAAGCATCCAATTTAGGTGCAAATCGATAGGGCTCTGTAAATAATCTTGTTATTAAGAACCTTGTTGGTGTGTACTATCTTCTTTTATTTATTTTATACTATATCGGCCTGGTTCAATATAAAAAATACCAATAGTTAAAACGAAAAGTAGAAGAAAATTTAGTGATGCAACTACAGTCATCCAACCTCTTTAATATACTCCCAGAAATGAACCAAAGGAACAGTTTTGCCCTAAATATACATTTATCTGTAGATTACACTGAAAACCAATCCTCTGCAAACACAACGCAATCATGTTTTGAAATCGTGTGTACTAAATCCGGCAAACGAGGCAGAGTCGAAGCAACGGAATGTTTTGTAATTCCGATTCTGCGAATTAAACATAGATGCAATTATCTCACCGACTCAACGCAATTAAACGCCACAAGACAAACACAGAACAGAGTTAAGCCGAGTGCTGAGAGACGGCGTTTATGCAATCTGCTATTCACAATTAGCAGCCGTAGTTGTAGGGCAGATGTCACCTCCGCGGTACAGAGCGGATTAATTAAGTAAGGTTGTTCACCAAACCCCCTTCCCTGACAAAACCATCCAATTGAAATCGACAGCGGAGGATCACAGATGTTTCAAAACTAATTTTGAAACCGTCACCTGTGTGGTAAAATTTCATGACCAAAGTTACCGATTTGATTTCTCAGGGGATTGGTTTTTGGGTATTTGTACTTGTGACAAAATAAATATTGTAAATTTAAATAGTACAAACTTCTCATTACCTATTCTTTAAGATTTGAGATAAAAATTTGTAACTTGTTTACTTTCTGGTCCCTCACACCTGTGTACTTCAGGTCATGTGACTATCTTTAATGAATGTGTTAAATTAATTATGACAGAAAGAAGAATTAAAATGAAATGACAGAAAGCTTAAGACAATTTTTTTTAGAAATAAATTTTATTGAAATAACTCTTTAGTTCAGATTCAATTGAAGGAAGTGATAGAACGCATAAAAGATACTGAAGTGTTTGTCCTGATTTAATTGCAAGCAGTATTTGTAATATATATGTCAACTTGTTCCAACTAAGTTTTTTTTTAAGTGGTTGGGTATATTACAAGTACTTTATACCATACATGTGAACAAGTAGTCAATCACAAAATACATCATTATAAATTAAGATGTTGGTCAAAGTTTATGGTACATATGTCGATATGTCACAGTTAAATCTTTGTAGCTAATTTCATAGTTTTAAAGCATATTCATTTAGCCATTTATAAAACTAATAGTTAAACTCTTTGTACATTTTTCCTTTCCATAGGTATTTAATTCGATATCCTTGAGTGGTGTAAGTTCAAACATGTTTTGGCAATTTGATTTTTAGAGATCCCTTACTATTACTATTCTAATTTTATATTTCGGGGTGTTTTGTTTCAGGAACAACTTTGGTCTGATCCAACTAGAGCTGGGGATGAATCCTCTTGAGCCAGTAGACGGACCATTTATCTACTCTAAATCTCTCCACTACCTGGACTTGAGTGAATGTACCCTGACAAAGCTGAACTCTCACTTCTTTCAAAACATCACAGCTATCAACCGTCTAGACCTCTCAGGCAACCCTCTGGGAGTAATAGAGGCTGGGATATTTGATGACCTCATGAGCTTAGAGGACCTAAAACTGAAAAACTGCAGCTTAACCAGAATCGACCCGTTGGCTTTTGTTCTCAATGAACATCTAAAAAGGCTTGAACTGTCAGAGAACAATCTGGTTGGACCAATTGATTGGATTTTAGTCCTAGGGCCACTAATGAGAGTAGAGTACCTGGATCTTCGAAGGTCTGGAATTGTGAACCTTCCAGAGAATCTGTTCTTGAACAACACCTACTTGAGAAGTTTGATTTTAGCTGAGAATGAGCTGAGAGATTTGGATGTGTCTTCTACCTTGAGCAACAACTTGCAACATCTTGACTACTTGGATCTGTCCAACTGTCGATTGAAAGGCCCACTGTCCGAGGATGCTTTTGCGAATGCGACCAATCTACGGACGTTGTTACTGACTGGAAATCGTCTTTCAGCCGCAGATTTGGCTGTCGCTCTAGCACCTTTGTCTCGCCTCCAGAAACTGTCTCTGAAAAACTGCAGTTTAACTAGATTACCCGCTGACACATTCCACAGATTTTCGTGCTTACAAGAACTAGATATCTCAGAAAATCCATTGAACGATGCCTTTACAGGACTCTTGTCTCCTCTAGATACCTTAGAATATTTGAACATGGGCAACAGCAATCTTGGTAGGGTGTCAAAAACTACATTCTCAAAGATGACAGCCTTGAAAACATTAATTTTGTCTGGAAATCCTTTGGAGAGCTTAGAACCTGGTTTGTTCCAAAATTTAACAAAACTAGAAGTTTTGGAACTCAACAACTGTAGTTTGATCCGCTTGAATTCAACTGTATTCCCTGATAACTTTACTTATCCAGATTTAGAAGAACTGAGGCTAGCACATAATCCATTGATTGTTCCTTCCATCGGATCATTTTTGCCTAGACAATTGAGAAGACTGAAAACCTTGGATTTGAGCAATTGTAATTTGACTTACATCAGACCAGCAGTACTAAATTCTTTCAGCAATATCACAAGACTTTTACTAGCCGGTAATAATTTGACTGTAACTAAAGAAGATTCTCTTGAGTTTTTGAGGAATCTTCCTGATTTGCAATATCTCGACTTAAGTTCAAACAGATTGACTTACATCAAACCCTCCGTTTTCTCAAACAACAGAGATTTGACCGGCGTAAAGCTCGTCGGGAACCCTTGGAAATGTGGATGCAACATTGCCGACATGTGGAGGTGGGCCATGCAAGTAAAGGGGGACGTAGGAGTCTTGATAGGCTCTAGAACAACACCTGAAGAGATCCGCTCTCTAACAGGCAAAAGAAAGAAGGGACTTTGGTGTCATTTCGACAAGAAAACAGCACCCATCAAGAACATTGTTCATAGATCAAAAACTGGAAGAACCGAAATAAACGATAACGTCAATAGAACTTGGTTCAGGTACGTAAGGGAGTCAGCTTGTGATGTCGGAGTTTCCAAGGTGTCGTTAGACAAGAGTGTGCAAGCGGCGCTGAGTAGTCCGGAGAACGCGAAGGTGGTGGAGTTGGACGAGTCCCCACCTGTCTGGGTGTTGGTCATCGCAGGGTTCGCCTCACTAGTGCTCATCACCACCGGAGTAGCTTGGGTGTATTCGGTCTCCAAGCGAAGGATGATCCCCCATGTAGAACTAGTCAAGGCTCCGTCGTGCTCCAGTGACGAGCGTAGTCAAACATCTGTCCAGCCGAGCGTCCTCACGCTCCCAAAGTGAGTTCACACATCATCAGTTTTTTATACACATTTATTTATTTTGATCACTGTTCAAAAGCGATGATGATAGAAAGTGTTGAATAGTACGAATCTCACATGGTAATAGAATATTAATGTAAAAATATTTACCAGTATTTCTTATTGATAATAGTTTTGAACAAATTTATGTTTTAAACAGTTTGATTTTTATTACAATCTACATTGCGCTTTCATTTGCACTAATCCTTAGAGGTATAAAATGAAAAATAAAATTGTAATTTCACTACCCTTTTGCATTTTTTAATTTCTTTTTTTACATATAAGCTATGTGAAAAAATTATTTTTTAAACATAGATGTCTAAAAGTTGTTACTATTTTGTAATTAAGTATAGACTATTTTCAATACTCATCAAACGCTCTCTGAGGTTATTATTTTATCTATTCACTTTGTTTTTCTCATCACTTCCTGTAGCTGTTGTTTTTATGTTTATGTGACATCACAAAGCATTAGTACAGGTTTGGAACTTTAAAAAAATCACTTTTCCCTTATTTTTGTACGTGATTGTTAAAGAATCTCTTAGCGTTCCTTATGTAACATGTGTGAGAATCTGTAAGATGTTGGTTGTTCAAGTTATTTAATTTCATATTCTTGGATTTATATGAACTGTTTGAAAACACATTAAATGTTTGTTTTCTGTACTGCTGATTTTATTTTTTAAGTTCCATTTTACAGCATGATTTTTTTTTCTTTTAAATTCATGTCTGTGTTTGCCATGTAAATAAAAAAATTATGGTTAAATTCTGTTTATTAGTGTTTTAATTTTTTTTTTTCAAATAAATGAAAGGTAATTATTGAAAGCAAAGAGACAACACAGTTAATAAGTATACAGTTTTCCAAACTACTTTTACCATCATTTATTAAATACCCAACCATGGGTTTTCATTTCCAATATGTATTTATAGTGCTCATTAGTCATACCAAAGATTACATATATGTAATCTTTGGTCATACTTAAAATATCCATAATAGGCTTTAAAATTAGTCCTTTTTACTGCACTTAGGAAATATTCTAGCCTAAATCTTTTATTCTACTTAATTTTGTCAAACAAATTACTAACAGTTGTGAACTTAGGCTTTGCAGTGTCCAAAACGTCAGGTTGGCTACCAGTAGTATATGCAAAGCAGATTAAAACAAAATATATTTAACTAAAAGAAGTGAAAAATCATTCCATTTAGTTAAGTTTGCGTGTCAAATATTTCTCATTACATAAAAAAATACATTTTTCTTTGTTTAATGCAATTAATAAAAGGTACAAGCAAGCAATGAAAGGTTTAAATAAAGCAATAGAAGCCCTCTCCAGCTAAGGTGGTATTTCAGGACAGTAAGGTATGTTTTACTTTCAATGATATAGCTAGAAATGCATTAACAATGAGAATGTAAAGGTCGGTTAGCTTTAACTACCAAGCATGGAGTCTACTACTCGCATGAACTAAAAATTGGAATGATAGAAAATTTCTATTATAAACATCTGCATCATGTATGTTGCCCGATAAGCTTACTTTGATAAAGGGTAGAAACAATAATCTTATAAATTTCTATAGTTGACCTATTTTTATTTATTTTTAAACAGACAAGCTACATATAAATAATTAAAAATAAATATAATATCAAAAAAGCCTTTATGAAATCGTGTTCACAAGTCATTATGTTATAATATGATACTTATAAGGATGGATGGCTTTAATAATATTTCATCTCATGACTAAACTACAATTCACATTTCCACTTAAAACTTGCTACTGTGATAATCTTGGTTGCTTGTGTGATTTTGATCTGCAATGATATCGAAGAATGTGCTTATACTGTATTTATAACCAATTTAACATGGAAACATCCACTCTTTCTATTTCTGTCTTACTTTCACTGACTAGATAGATTCTCCTAGGTCTGTTCAGTCTAGTTAAGCCAGTAAGTTATGTCTGTTTGGGCTACTAAAACTGGTTGTTGCTGGTACTTTTTCACTGTTGGTTAATATGAGATGATTTCCTTAGTCAGGAATCAATATATTATATTTGGCTTACAAACGTATTGCCATGTAATGAAGGTTATATTTAGCAGGTTAATTTTTCTGGAACCTATACAGTACCAAGATTAACAAATTTACTTAAAGATTCCTTACAAATTATCAAACTCTTTCTGTAAAATTCTGTTAAAACAATGGAGCAGAATAATTTATAAATATGTCAACTAATATTCCAATGTACCCTGCTTCCCCCTCTTGATTATTTAAAGTTATATACGATATGATGATCAATATTTCAATAACTCATTTACAAAGTCTTATTTTCCTACAGTCACTTGACAAAGTTGGCTTCCCTGTACTGTTTATAGTACAGAAAGCTGCTAATTGCTGCATATTTATACTTTGTGTTACGGTTTAAACTTTGTCGTACGGTTTATACTTTGGCGCACATCAGGGTTCCAACGAAACAACACAAAACAGCGTGGTTCTATTATGCATGTAATCCGAAATAGGTTGGCAACACTTAAAGATAATAATACTATGAGTAGCTGATTGACTATTATAACTAAGATTTAACCTGTCATTTCGTGTTTATAGTTTATGTTCCCTTTTCGGTATTTCTGAACTTTTCTTTTAAACGTTTTTAAAACATTCCTACGATCTTAATAAACAAGAAAATACCTTTAAAGCATTTTTTAGGCGCAGAAACCACTGCAAATTACAAAAATATACGGAACTATTTTCTCAAGTCGAGGAGCACATTGCTTGCCGAGGAAAAAATAGCGGAGTGATACGGACCGGGGACTACTTTCTCTAGGGCACCTATTTGTGTTGCCAGCTGAACCTAAAAACGTGTTGTATAGTGTTTGAAAGACTAATTATTTATATGCTTTATAGTGACTGTAGGAAAAATATAATAATATAGCTAATGTGCATATGAGCTAATGTATAACACGAGTGCAAAAGGCCTTTGCTGCACTCGAGATCATACTACTTTGCTCTCGTGTGCAGCAAAGTGCCACTTTGCTCACTAGTTACACAAATAACTATTTATTGGTAATTTTATTTACTGTTGGCCATTCGACTAATTTCCAGCTCCTCTTTCACTGTATTTTCTCTTTATTATAGGCATAATAATTCAGAGGTTAAGCACAGAAAATGACGATTCAAGTCTGAAGATGACTCAGAAGTGGAGAATATGACTCAACATTCGGTGTCCGAGTCTAGCATAGCAGAGTGGTGGCTGAAATTGGGTGACACTCTAGCTACATTTAGCCAGTGATTGCAAAATAAAACACGCGTCCAGAGTATGTTAATAATAGTTTGTAACGTTGTATAAGAAATAAATGTTCACTTTTTTAATTTGTACTGTTTAGTCTACCTTGAGTTTTCATATTTCACTGCTTTGCTAAAATTAGTTTTTCTAAAAAATATTTTTTGTTTCTTTTTAGTTATTGATTTAAATTGTTAAATTAATTGACACCATTGTCTTTTCAACAATGGTTTTAGTTAAGAATAGACCATGTGGAAGGTTTTGTAAAATAAATTTATTAGTTTGATTAGTTCTCTATTTCAATTAAATGGCTAATCAATAAATAGTAGTTCGGGTGGACTATAGACTATAGTCTATATTATGGAACAGGGCGTCTTTTGGGGGGGGGGGCAGGGGGGGGGCCCTTGCCCCCCTGGTTCCTGGGCTAGAGAAAAAATGCCATACTAGCTAATATAGAAATATTTTCTCCTGTCAAATCCTAAAAAGCATGGCAGACAAAAATCTTGCCTATTCTTCTACAGTAGTTTGAAACAAAAATATTATTTTTTAGTGTCTCAGTAGCACATTCAAATTAATTGTGTCAAATTATTTTATTGGTAATACAATTTGGTTTGCTTTTAATAACTTAAATACTTGTGTTTTATTTAGAAATCAAATTAAACTGTCATAAACTATAGGCTATGAATAAACCCGTATTCATTGCTATGGGTCTAAATGTTGTATAAGAGAATTTGGTCATAAATCTAATAACAAAAATAATATTAATACACCATGAAACTATTGATCACGTTTCTTAGATAAATAACTTACCAACATATTATTATGTTTCTGTCTGTTGTCAATGATTGTTAGTTTTATTAATTTTATGCCTAAATTTAAATAAATTTTACTCACAATTTTGTTTTTATTCAAAGTGTGTTTGACAATTAAAATAAGCTTAAACCCCTCTTTTTTGTTTCAAAACTGCAAAAGTTTACGGGGGTTTAAACGGGGTACCCCCCAGAGTTTGCCCCCCCCCCCCCAAGGATTTGGTGAAATGACGCCACTGTTGTGGAACCTGTCTCCCGATCCTTTCTTTACCTGGGACTGACCCGGGCCTTGAACCATGAGTCATACAGGCTACAAACACAACTAATTGGAAAGAACATTATTTTTATCATTAACACTACACTATAATATTAAGGTAGAAACACAATGGTACATATGTCAACCAGAATATGAGTTTAGATTGGAGTAAGATATCTTGTGTTACTATTTTTTAAAAGCCTAATGATCAGGAACCGCTTTCCGCTTTGTCCAGTTACAACCATCAAAAGCTACTGACCTTTCTTATGATCGGTCACATACTACCTACCTTGTATATTAAAATGTCAGGACTAATTTCACTTTAGTCTAAATAATTATACAAATCCCAATTCTTTTACTGGTTGAATCTCTATTCATGATTGGTTATTTTAATGGTCTAACTTCAAACTTTACCAAACGAAATCATTGACTTTGAGTAAGTTTTCAAAGCACACACTTGTGACCTTTCTCACATACATAACTGAGAGTCACAGCTCCAGTTATCAGTTGTTGGGCAACACGTGTTGCATTAACATTGTTTGGTTTTGTGTTCAAAGTTCTCTACAACTAATCTGTTACCACAGTTGTGCTGGTTTGGATTACATGCAAGTTTGTATGGATTTGTTCCATTGTTATGAAGATTGGAGTGTAAAAAGTTTCCTAAATATGAATAAAAGTATTTTGTTAATTTTGGTGTCCTGTGATCTGAAGTTTGTTGTTGCAGTTTTCAAAATCAATGAAAAAAAAATCAATTATGTATGAAGCATAGCATTCTCATACCTATAGGTAGGTTTGAACACATAAAACCTGTACTAAAACTGAAATATTTCATTCCAAACGTAAGCAGCCTGTCACAGAGACCTGATAGTTATCAATGACTTAGTTTTTATGAAAGAGAACAAACAAACACTAAAGGAACCCAGCTAGATTTTTAAAACATATAAGTTAAAACTTAGAACATTAAGGACCACTCCATTTTAGCCTGATGATTGCATCTAAATATTATAAATTGGTGTAAATACATGCATCTATGCGATCCAATGTGTTGCTAAATTGCAACCAGTTTCTACTCTCATAGGAGTCATTATCAGGCCAGTAAAGATATCTTCTCCCTTCATTCGAAGATCGTCAATTGATAATAAATAAATCAATTAAACACGCACACTTACACAAACATAAAAACGAGACTTTAGGATTTAAAACTAAGGGTAATACTGCAAGGGTACCACCACCAATTGACGACCTTCTAATAAGTGAGAAGACATCTTTACTGGTCTGATGATGACTCCTATGTGAGTCGAAACCGGTTGCAATTTAGCAACACATTGGATCGCATAGATGCATGTATTTACACCAATTTATGGTAAAGTATTTATAATATTGTCTGTTTTTAACACACTGAGGAATTTGGTTGGATGAATTTTAACTGCTTCTCAATATTATTTAGAATAATAAATGTACACCATTCTCTCAGAAAACTCCATGATTTGTACCACAGTGAGTGGTTTTCTCTCTGCAAGTCAAGTCGGAGAGGTAAATATAGGTACAGGTTCCTTGAGAGGTTTGATTCCAAGCTACACACCACCAATACCCTTGTGTAGGGTTCCAACCAACTGTTTATAACCAAATCTGTGCGTATCAGTCAGTGCCTACCAAGAGGTTCATCTATTTGTGGCGAAACATAAACACAAGCTAATGTTGACAATCACTCAAAGTAAGCCAACTAATGATCAAACACCAACGTCTTGGAACTCAGTACAACTTTGGGGATCTTAGCAAACATTATAATTGATAATCTTGGTTTTGCTATTCTATCTATCTTGTACTTTTACCAAAATACAGTATATAAAAAGATATGACTATGCACAGAACTAGCATTGCCTACATTTTTATGTTAACATTGTTGCCAGTTCACAAATCAATAGTTGAATTGAGTCTCGGACGAAATGAGCTGTTGTCAATACTGGTTTGTCTTGTATATAGCCTACTTCAGATTTGTTACAAAGGAATATAAAAATGTTAACTTATTGTAAATTATTGTATGACGTTAATAGAAATAACTATAATACAATGAACAACTAAGATAAAAATAAGAGTGACACATTCGACTGTCGTCTATTTAGCCGTAAAAATTGATTCGGCTCATCAATAGAATGGATTTAAAACGTCGTGGTACTAAAGGTCAATTATATTACATTTAATCTTGTTTATGTAATTAATTGTTGTAAGGAAGTGTTGAAGTCTATATTACATACTTTTTACTGTTAGACTTTGTTACATCATGATATCAAATAACTTCACCTTCTTTAACTTTAAATTGTGATATACCTGTAAATCTTTTACATTGTATTATATACTTTATACATAGCCATTGATTAATTTACATTCTTCTACTTCCTGCCAGCTCTCCTACATACACATACATGTACAGTTAAGTCCTTTATCCAATTAGCAGATGTAATACACCTTTATAAGGATGCCTTTGTAAAGGTCAAAGATAAGATTCCCGTTTTTATTACAATATGAATTTTCTAGCTACAACCCAATCCTTAAAATGTTAAACAATGTTAAAATTATTTTGTTTTGATACAAACTCACGATATTGTGTTAAATGTGTCGGAATTAAATTATCATAATGTTTTTTACGCAATGAGAAATGTTTTTAAAGGAAGTTCCATTTGCCTGTTTCAATGTGACTTATTTTTCACATTACTCAGAAACATCTATCTTTTAATCACAAAATGTACAATCTACTTGCAAAAGATCCGTCTTAATTTACTTCTGCTGACAGAAAGGAAACTGGTCGTCTTAGAGGAGTAATCGTTTGAAATCTCTTGATGAGTCTTTTCAGACGTTTTTACAGTAATAAGAATTTATGAGGGAAAACATTAAAACGAGATTGTTGAGAGAAATACTCCAACCTCTTTAATTGAAGTTTTAGCCTAAGGTTTCTATTTGTTGAATGGTTTAATTGAATGAAATATGAAGGGAGATTATTTATTCTCTGTGAAAGTTTGACTAATTTGGTTTGAGTACTTAGTGGATGTTAAGTATAAACATTTGGTCCTAATGCTTCAAAAGTGCCTGTCCTAATGACAAACAATTGAAAAATATTACACATATTTATTTATTATGTGGTATTGAATTATGATTGAGACACTATCAATTGTGGGTGAGAAATAGAAATATTGATAAGTACCTTCTACCTTCATGCCGTCGCCCACATTTGTTACCTACGTCTAACGACATTTTTCACGAGATGTTAAAAAAATGTATCCCCTATACGGTAATTTTTTACATTCACTCTTAAACAACACATTACATGTATACTCCCTGCACTTCCTGTAGTATCCAAAGTAAATTATTATAATGTTCAATTTATTTGAAGTTTTAAGTAACCTACTGCATTAAAGAAATTATTGGTAAACAAATTTCAACAGGTTTAATTCTAGCCGAATCTGTTAGATGTACAGCTCCAAAGCTAGTAACCTTTCTACATCGTAATGAGCCCTTTATAATACTGCACCGCAAAATATCACTTATTTCAATATTTTCACCAAACTAGAGTATTAGACCTACTATTAAACTTAAATTATTTCATCAAACCAAAATCGTTCGTACAGAAACAATAATTATTATTCTATTAAATATTGAATTTAATAGTCTGTAAGACTACCTACATACCTTTGCTGGGATAAACAAAATATTCTTCGATTATTTCCAAATAAAAAGCCCCTAACTCTATTTTAGTGGCTGTTTCTAAATAATGTTACAATAAGACGAAAAATGTGTTTCGTGACACGGGCAAAAAGTATCTTTTTCAACCCTCGCACAATTTCCCAGTCCGATGGTGAAAAACTCGGGAAGAGTCACTTTATGACATAGTGATGAAATATAAAATTTCTAATTACCTAATAGAACACCTTTGTATTGAACCTTACCCAAACATAACCTTCTAAATGTAATTTAAATTCATGAGATATTTCTATACAATCGAAAAGTTTCTATCATTTGAAAATATC